GCTATGTTTGTGTGTAGCTGGCCAAGCCTTTTATCAGCTGAGACCCACAGGAAGGCTCAAGGGTCACTGAGGGGGCTTGGTAAGCCCTTGTCTTTGGCGCTCGGTCAGCCTCCTTTCCGTGCCTCTGATCTGCCTATCGGCAGGAAAGGGAACTCAGCTCAGCTTGGGTTGTTTCAGTCTCCTTTCTCACCCCCTGACCCTCTTCCCTTGGCCCCATAATGGCTTTTACATGATGCCAGGAGTTCACAGAGTGGTTTTGGTTGCACCGTGTGAGTCAGTCTCTTTCTTGTTTTGGCAGAGTTTGTTTTTCTCCTGTCTGAACAATGGTGTCTGGAGAAATCCGTGAGCTACCAGGCTGTAGAAATCCTAGAAAGGTAAAAAACACTGAGCATAGGCCTTTGTGAGTGGTACCTCTCAGAAGGACTAATGTACTCTTAAAAATCTTAAAAAAGAAAAAAAAATAAAGTACAGTCGCCCTTTAGCATGAGACCTGGTTTGGCACCCTCTATTACTTGCAAATGTCCATTTCTCAGCCAGGGACTGAGATTGGAGAGGAGGAGATACCCCATAGTTTGCAGCACAAACTCCCTTTAGTTTGATGAGTGTGGATTCTTTACTCTCCCCTTCCCTTCCTTATAGGTTTATGGTTAAGCAGGCAGAGAATATGAACAGGCAAGCCACGATCCAGCTGAGAGAGAAGAAGGAGGCTCAGAATTGGAAAACTCTGAAAGAGCAGCTTTTCAACAAGTTTATCCTGCGTCTTGTGTCATGTGTTCAACTGGCAAGCAAACTTTCCTTCCACTACAAAGTAAGGAGCTGGGGTCCCTCCTGGGTACCTGCACGTTAGCAGAAACCAGCTCGTCCACAGGCAACTGTGAGAAACCTCCTCCTAAGCTAGGTGTTACTACTCCTGTGGAAATTCCAGAGTGCAATTACGCTCCCTAAATAAGCACACCTCCTACACACACACACACACACACACACACACACAGTCACACAGAGGCAGTTTTTAAATAGCCTGAAGTTCTGTTCCCAAAGTGTAATTGCTGGACAGATGCCATCATTTATACAGGTCACCTTTCCTCCCCTTGGACTCAAGGACAGTTTACGTAAGGTGCCTGAATTGCCAACAGGCCTATCAGTATTAAAGACAAACTGTTACATTTATAGAGGATAAAATGTTTCCATACCCCTACCCGATGCCTGTATGGTAAAATACCATTCCCGCAACAAAGATTCACTGTCTTCTATGGCCAGAGGCTGCACTAGGTGCCATGGGTACAACAAGTAAAAATATTGCCTGAGCTCTATTATCCAATGGGAGAAGACACACAGGCAAATAACGTGGGACGGTGCTCCAGTTAGTGTAAATGCAGACAGCTGTGCATGTACCTCTGCGGCCTCAGAAAGTCAAGCAAGTGTATTTAGGGAAAATGACTTCTTGAAGGGGGTAGGTAGGCGTGGGTAGGAGATGGGTGGATGCTAAGAAAGAGGGAGAGGAGCTCAGGAAAGCAGGGAGAGAGGAGAGGGAGGGTCCAGACACAGGAAGCAGCACGTGTACAGGCTTGGAGAGCTGGACGGGCTCGGGAACTGCAAGTAATCCTATATGACAAGCGTGGGGCGTGAGGGGCAATTGCCAAGAGAGAAGACGCGATGAAGGCATGTGCTGGATTGTGAAAAGCTTTGTATGCTATGCCAAGATGTGTGACCTTTAGTCTGACACCCTTCTCTCTCTCCCTCTCACTGTTTTGTTTTTCTTTGCTCAGATTATCAGCAACGTTACAGTCCTGAATTTCCTCCAGTCTCTAGGGTATGTGCACACTAAAGAAGAACTGCTGGAGTCAGAGCTTGATGTTTTGAAGTCCCTGAACTTCCAAATCAATCTGCCCACTCCCCTGGCATATGTGGAGATGCTTCTGGAGGTTTTAGGTACTCTATTAAGCATGTCAGCGGATGTGGGTTGGAATCTTCCACAGAAGGCAGTAAGAATGTGCCCAGGGGCTTGGAAGCAGTGGGCAGAACCCACCGATGAGAAACAGCAGGAAGCCTGGGATGACTGAGTCTGGTACCTGTCAGGGAAGGAAACTCAGGTCTCAGCACCTGACTTCTATTTGGACTCACTGGGCACTCTCTTATTGCGGGATCAAAGAGGTGATTTTCTAGAGAGGCATGAGATAAGAGGGGAACAAACAAATATACTCTAATTGTATATACACGGCAGATGGAGATTTCTCTATCTCTCCCTTTATCCTTTGAAATTGACCTCCAACTAAAGAGGTTTCCTACAGTAGAACACGTTAGCTCAAGAGCTTTGTCACATGTCAGTGGTGATGATGCTCAGAGAGGACCCACTTACCACTCTTTGCCATGCCCATACCCCATCTAGGATACAATGGCTGCTTGGTCCCGGCCACACAGCTGCACGCAACCTGCCTGACCCTGCTCGACCTTGTCTATCTCCTGCACGAACCCATATATGAGAGCCTGCTGAGGGCTTCAATTGAAAACTCCGTACCCAGTCAGCTGCAAGGGTAAGGAAACTCCTTTAGGGTAGGCCTCTTCCAGGAACAGCGAGTTAGGAGCACACCTCGAGAACATACCACGGGAATGGAATTTACCCAATAAGGCATCCAGTCCACAGATAACCTGCGCAGGTTACCCAGTTTTAATGAACTCCCAGTATGTTGCTTGGATGCAGATGACTGAACCCAATCAGCAAAAACCCTAAAGGATTTTGCTTTTAAATTTAAATGACTGCAGGTAATTAACATACTTTCTTTTTCATAGTTCCTCCTTTACTTCTGCTTCAATTTGAGATTACTGGACTGCCTTTTAGCCTCTTAGGAAAAAAAGCCAGTCACAGGGTGGCGACTTGGACAAAAGTGTTTGATTACTGTAAAGTCAGACTGGTAAAAAGGCTCACAGTTACAGTTACATTTGTTAGGGAGACAGATGGGACAACAAAGGCTGATAAACCAGTCAGGATCCCAGGTGGGTTAGGGGAGGGGGGCCAATTAGCCATTTCCTTCCATATCTAAAAAAGTCCAAGATGATCAACATAAACAACTCATTGTTGAAGTCCCATGGCCCTAGGATTTGGAAGATCAAGTTCCATTCAAGCTCCAAAATTAATATGGTTTTAATCTCTCAGGGAAAAGTTTGTTTCAGTGAAGGAAGACTTCATGCTGTTGGCAGTAGGAATCATTGCAGCGAGTGCTTTCATCCAGAACCACGAGTGTTGGAGCCAGGTGCGCACCACTGAGCAGGACTGGCATGATCAGAATTCACTTAATAGAAAGCATTCTCCCATCGGTTAAAGGAAAAGAGAAGACAACTTATAAAAAATAAGTCGAGACCCAGTATAATGATGAGTAAGCAGGATTTGGGGGAGGAAACACTAGGGTAGGTCTGAAAAGCGCTCTCCAGTTTTCCCCTTGTGGAACTGGAAATGGAGGATCACGTTCAGCTTGTTCCTTTCTCTTTCTGATGATAACCCACTGTGGTGTTCAGGTCCAATAAGTATAACCTCCCCAATAGAAGACAATGTCTAGGCCCAAATGCCCTCATCATATTTCACAGAACTTATCTCTAGAAATGAAATGTCTAGCAGAAACTTTCCAGGCTAACACTATCAGGGTAAAGGGATCCTAACGTCATCTGGATTTAATCTTCTCTGTAAACGCAGAGAAACAAAAAAATTTACATCTGGCTTGAGAACAGCCCAAGCGTTGTGCCTTTCTGTGCGCTAAAACATGCTGAGATTATTTAGTAATACGAAATCTGTCTGTCTCTGAAGGTTGTGGGGCATTTGCAGAGCATCACTGGCATTGCCTTGGAAAGCATTGCTGAGTTCTCTTACGCAATCCTGACTCACAGCGTGGGAGCCAACACTCTGGGGCGACAGCAGCCTGTTCCTCCCCACCTGGAGGCCAGAGCTCTGAGGGCCACTGCCTCCTCCAACACATGAGGCGCACTCAACGCACCGAGTATAAACAGCCTTCCGTCACCATGCTCAGCCCTCCTTTTGTTTACTCTCAGACTCGGGACAAAAGTTACGAGTATCTTTTGAACTATGTTTTGTACTCCAACTCCATGCTCCTTTCTCTGCGTCAGAGAAAGAGTTAAAGTTGACAAGCATGTCCTTTTTGCCGAAATCAGACTGAAAATGTCAAGGAGTTGGGAGGAGACAGAACATTAGTGAAGTTGGTTCATTTTTGTTTAACAAGATATTTATAGCTTTCCCTTAACTGTTCATTTCATTGAGAGAGAGCACCAGACATGGAAATTAGTATTAACCAGGGGCCTGAAAACTGGGACTGTTTGGGTGACCTTGACTGAGCATCAAGGAGGCAGCCTTTATTTCCCCTTAAAGTTAGCTTAACATCTCTGTTCTGTCTTTGAGATGTACACAAATGGGCTTCCTCTACAGCTGGCTATTTCCATGAGTCTTTTTTAAAACTAACACTAATCCATCTCCAAACACGTTTCGACAGGATTTCCACATACTTGCACTTGAACTCAATACTCCCAGAATATAAAGTACTCTATCTTAGTCAACAAAAAACCCAACAGCGCGCCTCTGGGCAGTTATCAGACTGCAGTAAATCTTTTATTACAAATAATTAAATCTTTCCATAATGTCTCAGACAATATCAAACACGATTTCATATTTCTAACAGAGAGCAGAATAGGCAGGCAGCACGAGAACTGAGAAAGGACAAGTGTTAAATTTCAAGCTTCCGATCATACCACCAGGTGACCAAAGCTTATGCATCACTTTCTCACGTTATCCAACTGTATGTCTCACACATCTTGTTGTCTCAGTGGAGATAGAAGTTTCTAGTTCATGGGGCGCCTGGGTGGCTCAGTCGTTAAGCGTCTGCCTCAGTCGTTAAGCGTCTGCCTTCGGCTCAGGTCATGATCCCAGGGTCCTGGGATTGAGTCCCGCATCGGGCTCCCTGCTCTGCGGGAAGCCTGCTTCTCCCTCTCCCACTCCCCCTGCTTGTGTTCCCTCTCTCGCTGTGTCTCTCTCTGTCAGATGACTAAATAAAATCTTAAAAAAAAAAAAGGTTCTAGCTCATATTGTAAGTGCAGGAAGTTGAGAGAGATAAAACCCAATGAAAACACAATCAATCTTAATTCAACTCAGTTAACAACAGCAACAACAAAAGCAAATTTAAATTAGTTGTTTTGAGGGGAGAGAGGGCAAGGAAGGTATGGGGTTAAGAGTCAAAACTATGACAAAGGCTGGTAGCTCTGGAAACTATCTGTCACATGATATCCTAAAATAAAGTGGCTTTTGTGGATTTTTCTTCTTTTTTGGTATTGTAAACATGTGCTGTTTAATAGTACCCAAATTTAATTTAAAACATTTTTTCTCTTTGCAAACAAAACAAAATTTAAAGCCTTTAAGGCAAACATTTCCCTAAGGAAAAAAAAAGTCATTTGTTATAAAACTGTGAGGACACCCAAGCAAGCCCCCACTTAAGATTCGTCAGCATGAACTTGAGAGCTTTTGTCCACTGTTCCTCAGAGTTAAACTGGGTTTTGATCGAATAGGAGCCGCCACTTCCTCCTGTGTCTTCAATCTTGCCCTTCTCCACATCCATCCTGCAGGTGGACACAGCAGAGCTCGTTAGCAACTGAGACCTGAGTTAGGTCCGCTTCAAACAGGCAGGGACGTGATCACGGGACCATTCGCATCATTTTATCTATTAAAGAACTCTTGGCCAGGAATGGTAGTGTATTTTGGATTTGTTTGAAAGCCAAACATCAGGAAGGCCGTCACAAGAGCCTCATTGTCATTGCCGAGTCCAGGGACAGGACACACACCCAAACAAGTGAGAAGCCTGGGGCAGAGGGCACGTGGAGGTTACGGTACTCCTGACTGTTTTCCGAGGCATCCCTAAACTCATGGGAAGAGAAGGGAGGCGGAAGAAAAGAAATGCTTTGTTTTGGGGTGACAGAAGCAGCTTCGGCCTCACCCTCTTAAACTAAGGTCTCCGTCTATCACTGGGCTCCTACAAAATTTGACCAAAGGAAGCATTCCTGTCTATTTCCAAGGGCTTAAGGGGAAAAGCTTCCTGAAATTAGAAAGCTGATTTGAGCTCTGTGCTAAGAAAATCCCCCCCAAAGCACCAAAGAGAATATTCTTTCTCCTCAGGGGCCAGGCGGTCACATTCGGTCCTGCTTGGAGTGTTGCATCCGTCTCTGCCCATCAGTGTCATGTGATTTTGCAGCATTTTCTGCTTTCCCACCATTTACACTATGTTTTGCTTCCATTCTTACTGTCCCTTCAATTCTGCTCAATTTGGTCCTACTCCAGGTTCATTCAGCATTAGGGGGTACTGACCTGTAAGGAAGACAAAAACGGGTCTCGCCTTTCTCTACCTCTTCTTTGAACTGCTGCACACAGTCCAGGAAAGCCACCATGGCATGGTCAAACTTGTTGTCCCAGAAAAACCGCAACCCCCCAGAGCAATATAACGGCAGCTCCTGTCCAAGAAGAGAGAGAACCAGCTAAGGGGATGGCACCAAGACAGGCTACCAGAGACTGTTCCCAAGCCCAGCCACCTCTCGAGTCATGTTCTGTCTGTACTGCACTGGAAACAGCCAACTTGGGCCCATATGAGGCACCTAGTCTGCTTCACCATCACTGGAAATGGATTAAACACTTAATCTCGCAGTGATTCCTTTCCCACCCTAGCATACACCTCCTCCTCTGGTCTGCCCTTAGCCCTTTTCAACGGATTGTAAAAACCTACTTTGTGTCTCTAGGCCCCAAAGAGCTAATCCTGACCTAGACAAGACACTCAACAAAACATGGGATCACAAGACACCTCAAAGAAAGAAACTAAGAAATGCTATTATCAAAAGTAAACCATTCCGTCAGGAGGTACAAGGATTCTGCATTGCACTGAAAATGGGGCTTCCCAGAATACCTTAGATTTGTCTGTCAGAGACTCCAGATATGAATGGTTTCCATAGGGAACAAGTCGATACCTAAAATGGAGATGCACATGGAGATGGATACAGGACTCCTGCTAAAGTGATTACTGGAATGTTACAACCCAGTGATTTTCAGGCTTCATCCTACCCAAGGACAACTTTTATTATTCCCACCCCTCTCTCTCATCTCCCCATTGACTCCGTGTTTAAAAGATGTTGTTTACCGAACTACATTTATTACATAATCATCTGGGGGCCTTTCATTGGTATGTGTAGGTTTTGTTTAGGCTGAAAAAAACAAAAGCTGAAAACAGCTTGAGGAACCACCAAGGTTCTAGAGACGCTGGGCTGGGGACCACAGCTCTGGTCGTGCAGTTCAAGGGCTGCTCGATGAGTGGAAAGAGCCCTGTCGTCAGGGGGAGAATCAGAAGCAGCGTCTCCACAGACAGAAAACTCTCAGTGTGTTGGGAGCAAGGGCTCCTGCCACAGCAGAGGAATACCAAGCTGGAGATACAGATTATATCAAGGACATGCCACACCCCAAGAAAGGGGGGCATTTCTTACCTCTGAAATTTCAGACCCATCTTATTGGCCAGGGCGTGGAGCAGCAACACCGTCTGACCCCAGGCAGCATTGATCTCATTCCATTCCACGGGAACACTGGGCAGGCGACCCAGTCGGAAGTTATTGATTGTACCGAACTGTCCACTGTGCCTAGAGGAAGGCAGGAGGGATGGGGGGAAATACAGGGAGACCTTAACACTCAGCAATTTGAGACTTCCTGCTCGCACCTAAACCCTCACATGAATCTCTCTCCTCATCTCCACATTCATATACCTAAGCTCCCTTGGCACTTTATTTATTTAAGTAAGCTCTATGCCCAACGTGGGGCTTGGACTCACGACCCCAGGATCAAGAGTGGCATGCTCTACTGACTGAGTGAGCCAGGTGCCCCTCTACTTGGCACTTTAAATACGTGTCCAAATGCAAGTTGTCATCTCTCCTTTTGCTCAGATGCCAAAGCAGAAACAGGGGTATCATTCTTGAATGCTCTCTCTCTGCTCCCTCCCCTCAAAAACCACCAAGCTCTCTTGATTGGACTTCCTAAATCTCTTCAATCTATCTACTTTTTTCCAAACTCAATGCCGCTGCTCTATCTTTTCCTGCTTAGAGTCTTACTGACAAGTCTCCTTACCACTGGCACTGCCCTCCTCCCCCCAACACTTCCCACTCTGCAGGTGAAGGGATCATTCACAAACACAAATGTTAATTATGTCAGCTCTCTGCCTAAAATGCTTTAGTGGTTTCCACTGCCCTTTGGATGAAGCCCAAATCCCTTCATGAGGCCTACAAGCTCCCTGGGGAACTGGTCACTCTCCAGTTTCATATCCTGTCACTCTCCCCTTTACACTCAATCTCCAGTCACAATAAGCTCCTTTCAGGTCTCCAGACTCACCACTCCCCTGTTCCTTTGTTTCTTTGCACATGACGTTCCTCTGCCAGGAACAACCCCCCTCTGCAGACTTCCACTTCATGTCTCAGCTTCAACATCAACCTCCCCTGGGGCAAACTTTCCATGTGGCCTTCCCAAACTGAGCCAAGTGCCTTTATGTGGCCCCAGAGCCCCCTGAGGTTCACAGTTATCACGTCGCATTACAACAGCCTATCACATATCCATCCCTTCCACGAGATTCTAAGCAACTAGAAGGTAGAACACATGTTGTGTGCTGTTGCCCTTCTGGTGCTTAACACGGTACCTGCCATGTATGAGATGCTCAACAACACTAGTTAAATGGACAAAATGTTGAATAAATACATCAATGATCCTAGTGGCAGCACCCAGGCAGATGACAAGGTTTTCGTGGGACTGGAGGGCTCAGATCTTTTCCTTTCCTTGGGGGAGTGGATGTCACCAAGCTCTAGAATTCCAATACCCAGAGGTGCCTCTCCCATCACAGGGAACAAAAGCAGCCTGGATGGGGTGACCATGTACAGTCCGATTTCGTGGGAGGCGGACACCTCGGCCTACTGGTCAGTAGCTAAGGTGCAGGTGTGCAGTGCTCCCCAGGCCCTCCTCACCCACCAGCCCGCATTACCAGATGTGGAAGGTCGCATTGAAGACATTAGTTTTCTTCAGCTTATCCAGCTGCATCTGGGCATAACGCATCTGGTTTTCCACACTCTTCAGCTCATCGTCCAGCTCCAGCTGTTGTCGCTTAAATTCACTGTACTCCCTCTGATACCTGTGAGCAGCAAGGTGGCCACTGAAGGCTGCTGGTTTGGGGCTGAAATTTCTCTCTCACCAACCCTCATAACAATTTAGTCTGGTGGTTATGGTGAGACCTAGTTACAGCATCCTTTCCATTTGGCACAGATCCCATTCAAAGGAACATACAGGCCCTAGCTGTTCTGCCTGCAAGGGACAGAAAGGTCTCAAATTCTAGCTGCTCATATGCAAAGGGCAGAGGAAAACAGGACTCTCCTAAACTAAGGCCACGTGCCTCTCGTATTTCTGATCTTTTACAAAAGTGAGGTGAGGGGGTTAAGAGTGGCTTCTTCTGTAAAATGACCCTAACTGAACTTTCAGAACTTCACTTCTATGCACGTAACTGTCCTTTATAGTTAGCGTACACCATTTCCAAGGAAACTCGTTCACAACTTTGAAAAAAGTAACTTTTTTCTCTGTCCATCACTTCCTCGACTTTAGTTAGTGTGGACACTGGGTCTCCTCCCCTGGACAGAGGGTTCTCTCAGGTTAAGATCACCAGTGAAATTTTTGGGCTGGGAAAGAATGAATGTAGGCCAACATGCTCATCTTTCCAGAGGAGGATGCTGTGTTGGGTGGCTGATTTACAGTTCCCTACACGGCAGAAGGGCAACTAGAACCCTCGTTTCTCCGCTCTCTATTTAACCGACATGCTTTTTTCACTTAATTAGGCGGACCACTCATACAGAACCCTTCCAACAGCCCTCAAGAAACAGGGCCTGGAAACAATATGTGGGATCTGGAGCAGACAAGCTATCAAATGACAGGTGACTGCAGCTTACAAACTACTGACACATTCGGTGAGAAGCCACTTTTCCCCCTGGAGTGTCGAGGCCAGGAAGACAGAAGAACAAGGTAACCACTCACTGAGCTTCCTCCTGATCCAGTCTCTCAGCCTCAGCCTGGACCTTTTCGAGATTTTCCGCCACTATCTTGCGGTTCTTTTCCACATCTTCCAGCTCCTGGATCAGCCTCTCCTCCTCTAATGCCAGCTCCTTTAGCTCCCTCTGTAGCTGTTCACTGTCGTCCTCATTCATCTGCTCTAAGAGCTCTAAACAGCGTCTGCCAAGGACACAGGCAGAATATACTCAGCGCAGGGAACCTGTTACACTGTTTACCTGAGTGCAGCACAGCTCCCGGGGAAGAGCCAAGCAGTCTGAGAGCAGGAACAGCTCTCGGGTTCTGGGCACTGGCTCTGGAGCCACTCACTTGTAGTTCTGACACTCATTTTCAGTGACGTTGAGCTGAGTGTCCAGTTGGTCTAAAAGAGTGTCTGTGCATTCCTCACACAGTGGGTGATCCACATCGGTCTGGCCTGACATGATGTCAAAAAGGTCCCCAGTGACCTGGAAGTGTGGGGTGGGGGAGAGTCAGGGTAGGGCCTGCCCCAGGCAACCTGTCAGGCCACCCACTCTAGCAGCCAGGCCCACCGCTGGACGCTGCAACACTGCCCACTTGCCTTCAGTCTTCGGCTGAGATTCTCCATGGTGCCGCCATCAGATGCCTCCCCGATCAGAGTGAAGCTGTTGGCACTTTCTGTAGACATCATCCTGCAGACAGCCCCCCGCCCACGGGCCACATGAGGGAGCAGAGAGGCCTCCTCCACCTACTGCAGTGTCAGTGGCAGAGACTCTCAAGCACCGGCTGAGGGGCCTCAAGGCGCATACCCACTCCTAGCCCGACTGACCTCCCAAGGGTACCTCTCTCCCAAGGGAAGGCCATGCTGGTCTTCCACAGGGGCACTCAGCACGAAGGTTGGCCTGGATGGACTAAGGAGGGAGAGGGGGCATCAAAAACTGACACGTGTGTGTGTCTACAGTAGAAAAGGAAGGAGAATCAGGAAAGACCATTTTTAAATATCACACCCCTCACCAGTAGCCTTCACATGCATCAACAACTAAGAACCTGAACGTCTAACAACATCTGCTATTTTAAAGCTTTTCAAGAGCCCATCTCTTTTATTAGTCATTCACTCCCTCAGACTTTTCTTGATTCTTCATCAAGAGAGCCACTGTCCCTTCCCACTGTGTGAATGGCTACAGGGAAAACCAATACTGGAAAGTGATGGGCCAGGTATAAGAGAATACATCTTTTCTGGAAGAGCCAAAAGGCTCGGTGATTTATCTCCATCACCTGGCTCCAGGTTTCAATTCTGGGTTCCATTAAAATTCTACTGGCCTTTGGCAAGGAACAGGGGGCTGGGGGAGTGGTAGGCACCTGGCTGGGGGGATGAATCTGCGAGAGACACCATCCTGGCGAGTTTCAAGAAATGGCTCCTGGGAAGGAAATAAGAGGGCGTTAGAATTCTGGCAGCTTAGAGGTGGAGTCCCAAACAGTCTCAGCAATATCTGGCTTTACCCTCAACTGACAACTGCAGGACTTGATAAACCACAGAGACTTAAGAAATAGGTGTTACCTAGCCAATCCTTGGATATGTGCACTAAGAAAGGACCCCTGGTACAGACAAACCCCAAGTCCCATGTGATTTTTTGTGGGAAACAACATCTCCTATGTTATACTCTATTGCAGTTAAATTTGTATTTTCTCAACACTTACCAGTTAGGGGTAGGGGAAAGAATGCCCTGAATCATGGCACAGGGAAAAAGCCAGATCAGACTGCAGTGAAGTTTGCCATGGCATACAACAAAGTAGATAATTTATATGCTTTTGATACTTTGATATAATTTATATATGATCAAATTCTTATGACATCTACCTCTGACAAAGAAAATTATCACTGACATTATCAGAGTTTAAAAATGACATGTTTGCGGCACCTGCATGGCTCAGTCAGTTAAGCATTTGCCTTCGGCTCAGGTCATGATCTCAAGGGTCCCAGGATCGAGTTCCGCATTGGGCTCCCTGCTCAGCACAGAGTCTGTTTCTCCCTCTCCTTCTGCCCTGCCCGCCCCCACTCGTGCGCATGCACTCTCAAATAAAATCTTTAAATAAATAAACATGACATGTTCTCTAATACTGACAATCCTTTCTGGCTAGAGTAATCACACTCTAGTCCAAACCAAGCTACTTTTGAGAATGGTGAGGAGTGAATATTAATAATTAGCTAAGGCAATGGAGTAAACCAGGCATGCCTTGGGATGACCTGGACACACAGATCATCTCATCTCCCACCTATAATGGCTTATAATTCTGCCTCAAATAAAAAGCCTCTCGCCACATTTTTTAATTATGTCACACTCAGTCATCATGTGACCTCAGGTGCACTTCAGGATCTCCCTGATGACCCACAGTGGCCCGATCACGCAGAACATCTCTTGTTAACCAGAGATCCCAAAGGTCTAGGGACTCCTGAAGCACCAAGTACCCTGCAGAAACCCAGTTTGCATTCCAGTGTTGCATACCTCTCCTGAGTTAGCCTCTTCCTCTTGGGTCTCTCCTGGTTTCACCTGGGCTGTGGCAAGTAATGGAGCTAAGGATAAGGAAAATATTAGAGTTAGGAACAGTCTTAACAAAGCTGGAGTGTGGGTACCTGGGTGGCTCAGTCAGTTAAGCGTCTGCCTTCGGCTCAGGTCATGATCCCAGGGTCCTGGGATCGAGTCCCGAGTCAGGATTCCCCCTCAGCGGGGAGTCTGCTTCTCCCTCTGCCTCTGCCTGCCACTCTGCCTACTTGTGCTGTCTCTGTCAAATAAATAAAACCTTAAAAAAAAAAAAAAGCTGGAGCGTGTATGAAAGTATGGGAAAACAATGAAAAAAAAATCCTCATCACCACTCCCACCTCCACCTTTTTCTTAAAGTACCATTTGCACATAGATAAATCTTTTGTCTTTCTCCCCTTACCCCCATTAAATCAGATTAAGGAATTGTTAAATTTTTCCCACTGTAGTATCATGATTGTAGTTTTTTTTTTATTTTATTTATATATCTGACAGAGAGAGAGACAGCAAGAGAGGGAACACAAGCAGGAGTGGGAGAGGGAGAAGCAGGCTTCCCACGGAGCAGGGAGTCCAATGTGGGGCTCGAACCCAGGACCCTGGGATCATGACCTGAGTCAAAGGCAGACGCTTAATGACTGAGCCACCCAGGCGCCCCATGATTGTGTTTTTAAAAAGACACCTTATCTTTCAAAAATACTTACCAAAACATTTACAGTATTTTTATGTTTGGGATTTGCTCCAAAATAATTCGGGGTGGGAAGGGAATAGATGGGGCTGTGTATGAAACATGATTTAAATATGCACTGATAATTGTGGAGGCTAGGTGATGGGTATGTGAAAGTTCCTTATATACTCTGAAGTTTTCCATAACAAAAGTTAACATCCCCTTTCCTCCAGAATAACTTGGAAGGAACAAGAGGGAACTTTCTGGGAAGATGAAACCTTTCTACATCCCAATGATCTGAGTAACATGAGTGTATCCATTTTGTCAAAAATGTACAACTAAGATTTGTACATTTAAAGGCATGACATTTTTAAAAAAGAATAAAAAGCAAAATAATTGAATGGGGATGGGAGGTGAGTGAAGATACAGAGAACACAAGAATGGCAGAATGTGGCTTATTGTTGAAGCTGGGTGATGGATATAAGAGAGCTCATTATGCTATTCCCTTGACTATATGATTGAAATTTTCTGTAATAAAAGGTTAAAAATATATTAAAGAGTTAATTCCACTCAAAAAGAGAAATTGGTAGCAATGATAATAGCTAACACTCGAGTACTTTTTGCCCAGCATATCCCTAAGTACTTATGTTCTTCATCATATTTGATCGTTACAACTACCCTGAGGTCGTTTTACCTTTTACAGATAAAGAAACCAAGAAACCAGGGCTTAGAAAGTAAAGTAACTTGCAAAAAACCATTCAGCTAGTAAATGACACTTATGATTTAAATCCAAGCAGGCTGATTCTGGACCCAAGAGCTTAAACTACCTATTCAATAGTCTTTTCTTTAGTCTCTAACTTCATCTCACTTCTTGGGATTTTAAGACTCTGTTCCTCCATTTACCTGCTGTTGTCCACTGGATAAGTCACTTAACCTCTCTGAGCCTCAATCCCTCATCTGTAAAATGATGGCTGTACTCCTCCATTGGGGTTGTTGCAGGGATAAATGATGTAATGCATGTAATGCACTTGCTATATGGTAAGCTCTCAAAAATTACTGTTTATTATTATATATACATATTCCTTTATTCTGAAACAGCAAGAGCAGAAAACTAAGGACCTTTCCTTAAAATAGGAAGCTCTAAGAAGCACAATGTCAGAACTCTTTCATGCTCCCAATGAGAAAACAGGGAGCCTAGAGACGAAATGACTTTCCTAGGTTCACAGCAAGTTTGTGGCTGATTACAAAGATAGCCACCTTAACACCTACATCTCCAAAGCTGCCCACTTTCCACGATCTTGACCACCCTCTTTCCAAGGGTCTCCCTGACCTGTGAGTTCCTGGATGGTGACACGATCCAGGATCTTGAAGCTCGTGTCCAGTTTCAGGGGCTGGCTGCAACGCTGGCACACGAAGCTCACCTGCATGGTGCTGCTGGAAGTTTTAGTCCCCTCCATCCCTGCGGTGGTAGAGAGGAGGCGATGTTAGGTTGAATCAGAGCACTTGAACCCTAGGTCCGGGGCTACCACCTGCCTTGCTGGTACAGTGAAGGGGGGAAATCCTCCCCCACGCCGTTCCCTGTAGGATTGGTCGGATACCAGGCGGACCCGTTTCCGGGGCAGCCCTGGCAAAGGCAGTTTACCAGCCCAGAGTCAGGAAGCGGCTTCGACAGGGGCTGTCAGGGTTCCCTTCTAAAGCCCCGGTTCAGCCCCCGACGCTCGTCACCTCGGGACCCGGAGCCCGCCACCCTGGTCCGGTCTACCGCGGGGGCACCGTGGCGTCGGGTCTGCCCCGGAGCGAGGCCTCCAGAGCTGCCATCGCCCAGTCTTCTGCTACTTCCCGGTCGGCCAGCGGAGGACTTCCGCCCGGACGTGACGTGACGTCATGACCGTCTTGCAGTCGCTCGGGAGGTCGGTCCCGGTCTACTCGCTTACGGGCCCCGCCGCGCCACCTAGAGGCTGAGCTGGGAAGTGCGGCAGGCATGGGCGGGTGGGCAATGGGAGCGAGGGGAGATGCAAGGACCGAGTTGGAAAAGAATGAGGAGGCTCACCCGATCTGTAATTCTGTGACTTTTCTTTAGATTTGTTACTTCTGAGCGGAACCACTTTAATTCTTCTTGCAGTATCAGTTTAAAAAGTTTCCTCTTGGGGGAGCTGGGCTTCTTTCAAATGCCCCTGAAAGAATGGTAGACACACTTGGAGGGGAAGGTGAGGTAAATTTTATCGTGTTTTATTTTGTATTTTAAAATTTCAGTTACAGGGCTCCTGGGTGGCTCAGTCGGTTAAGCGCCTGCCTTCGGTTCAGGTCATGATCCCAGGGTCCTGGGATCAAGCCCCACATTGGGCTCCCTTCTCCCTCTCCTCCCTTCTCCCTCTCCTCCCTGCTCGTGCTCTCTCTCTTAAAAAAATAAAAATAAAAAATCTTTTTAAAAACAAGTGAGGAGATGGAGAAAAACATACTCATACAGGATGCATTATACAGGTAAAGCTAACAGGACCTGCTGATGATTTAGATGTGGGGAGATGAGGGATAGAGGAACCAAGGTTGACAGTCCAATGTTTGGTTTGGAAAACTAAGTGGATAGTTGTCTGTTACTGAGATGGGGAAGAGCAGGAAAATAACAGCTGTATGGAAGAATCAAGAATCCTGGTTTGGCCACATCAAGCTTGAGATGCCTATTCGTTACCCAAGTAGGAATGTCAAATAGACAATTGGAGCTCAGTGAAGATGTCAGGACTGGAGATACAAATTTAGAACCATTCAGCATACAGATGGTATTCATAGCTATGAAGATGGGTAATACCTCTTAGGGAGAAAGTATAAGTGAAGACTTAAGGATGTAGGACTAAGCCCTGGAGCATGCCACCATTAGGAAGTGAGCAATAGAGGAAGAGCCAGCAAAAGAAATAGGTCAGCGGTGAGTTTGGAGGAATGCTGGAAGAACAGTTTGCCATATGTATTTTTTTTTAAAGATTTTATTTATTTATTTGAGAGAGAGAGAATGAGAGATAGAAAGCATGAGAGGGAAGAGGGTCAGAGGGAGAAGCAGACTCCCTGCTGAGCAGGAAGCCCGATGCGGGACTCGATCCCGGGACTCCAGGATCATGACCTGAGCCGAAGGCAGTCGCTTAACAAACTGAGCCACCCAGGCACCCTGCCATATGTATTTTTTTAAAAGATTTTATTTATTTATTTGAGAGAGAGCGAGAGAGCACGAGTGGGGTGAAGAGCAGAGGGAGAAGCAGACTCCCCGCTGAGCAGGGAGCCCGATGTGGGGCTCAATCTCAGGAGTTCGGGATCATGCCTTGAGTCAAAGGCAGACGCCCAACTGACTGAGCCACCCAGGTGCCCCACCGCATATGTTTTAAAAGGTGGAGTGGTTAGGGATGCCTGGGAGGCTCAGTCAGTTGAGTGTCCAACTCTTGATTCTGGCCTCTGATTTTTGGACATAATCTCAGGGTTATGAGATCGAGCCCTGTGTCGGGCTCCGCGTTCAGTGGCGAGTCGGCTTGAGATTGTCTCTCTCCCTCTCCCTCTGGCTCTCCCCCTGCTCCTGCACTCTCTAAATAAATAAATGAAATCTTTAAAAAAATTTTTTTACAAGGTGGAGTGATTAATGTATACCACCAAGAAATTCAAGATGAAGAGGTGACTATCAATATGGCAGTAATTGGTAAACTAACAAGAACTATCTCAGTGAGAACATGGGGTGGGAGAGCCTGAGCGGAGTGGATTGGAATGAGTGGAAGATGAAGTAGAGTAAGAGACAATAATATCATTCAAGAAATCTTGGCATGGAGAAGAGCACAGAAATGGAATGATAGCTACAGAGGAATCTGGGTCCATTTTTCTCAAGATGGGAGAAATTTGTCATGTTTGGAAATGACCCAGTAGAGAGGGATAAATGTAATATAGGGGAAAAATGGATAATCACAGGAGCACAGACCTAGAGAAAGTGAAGCCTATGGGACCCAATGCACAAAGAGTTGGTTTTTGATGGGAACAGGGATCTTTCCTTTAATGAAAGGCAGAGAGTACTTGCAGGCTGGCGAATTTGGTGGGGAGAGGAAGTTCTCATTTGCTTCTGTCTTCTCAATGAAGAATGAGCCAAAATCATAAATTGGATGTGGTGGGGGAGGGATAGTCGAGGATTAGGGAAATGAGAAACCATAACACACATTTGGAGTGTAGGAGAGTACATATGTCAAGGGCATGTAGTAGGCTCTTTGGCAGTGTTGTGCACCCATTTGAGATTTGTGGACATGAATTTAAAGTGGTACCAGTCATCAGTAATCACGTTTGATTCACAAGGACCAGAAATGAATACAGTTTGTTAAATGAGGTGGCCCTCAACAACTGTTCGCTGAATAAATAAGTAAATGAGTGGAATATTATATAAAACATTTGGATAGGGAATTAGGAAGGGAAATAAAGAACGAATGGGTATCCGTCTTCTTACAACCTACCTAAAGACAAAACACAATTATTTGAGAACAAAGCCATATTTCAACAAACACAAACATATTAAGTTTTCAGCTTAAAGTTATTAATTCTGAAAGAAATGCAGGGTAATTTCTTTTTTTTTTTTTAAAGATTTTATTTGACACAGAAAGACACAGTGAGAGAAGGAACACAAGCAGGGGGAGTGGAAGAGGGAGAAGCAGGCTTCCCGCGGAGCAGGGAGCCCGATGTGGGGCTCGATCCCAGGACCCTGGGATCATGACCTGAGCTGAAGGCAGGCGCTTAATGACTGAGCCACCCAGGCACCCCGAAATACAGGGTAATTTCATACTTAAGATAGCATGAAGTTAATTTGGGAAAGCATTCCTGAAGTTAAGTTCCAGATAAGAGTTCAAAAGTTACTAGGTACAAGTTAACAGAAAGCAGAGGTAAAAGAGAGAAAACTAGTAGACGTTAATAAGCAAGATGGGTAGTACGGGCTATGTTGCATATAGTCTTGAAGGAAGAGTCTGGAAGCAGCGATGATAATAATTACATAGTTTAAGGAGTAACCTCTTCATGCTAAGCACTAACAGTTAGCTTAATTGACAATGGCTTCTATTTATCTGGTCCCTGCCTGTGCCCACACACTAACTGTGTTAGTTCTTTTACATATGTATGATTTCCAATATTCACAAACACTCCACAGAATTACATATCATTTATTTATAATAAAAGTCCTTCTCACAGATGAGGGAATTGAGACCCAGCATTTCAGTCATTTCCCCAAAATATCACAGTAAGAAGCCGAGGTAGGATTTGAACCGTGGTCTCTCTGATTCCAAAGGCCATAGTCAATGGCACTTCATTTAACTGTGTATTCCCACCATTTCCCTTGTGCTTAACGCAGAGGCCTACCAAGGATAAATGCTGAGCAGCAAGACTGGGCCCAAAACGTAAATCAGACAACCTGCCTTTGTACTTAATCCAAATTGTTTCCCAACAACCCTCCCCACCCCACTCCCATCCCCCACTCACTAACTAGTCTTTCAATTTCTTCAACAGGACAACTTCTTTCCTTCCCCAGGGTGTTTGCCTGTGCTGCACCTGTACTTTTGGAGGCTCTTCCCCTCACTCTTCCCATGCTAAACCCTTTATATCCTTTACTTTTTATTTTTTTAAAGATTTTATTTATTTGACAGAGAGAGACAGCGAGAGAGGGAACACAAGCAGAGGGAGTGGGAGAGGGAGAAGCAGGCTTCCCGCGGGTCAGGGAGCCTGATGTGGGGCTTGATCCCAGGACCCCGAGCTCATGACCTGAGCCGAAGGCAGTCGCTTAACCAACTGAGCCACCCAGGCGCCCCCCCTTTATATCCTTTAGATCCTAGCTCATCACTTCATCTGAGAGGCTGTCCCTGGCCATTCTATCTAAAATAGACCCCTAGTGTTCTCTACATCAGTCATTTCTTTCCTAACATTTATCAAATTTTGCAATTATGTTGTCAGGTTATTTTCTGATGTCTTTCCCCAGTATTAAGACCCAGGAAGCCAAAGAACTTAAGTCCTGTTTACCTTTGACTTCCCTGAGATGTGCTTTTCAATACAGGAGTCACTAGTCATATGTGGAACCTCTGAATTGAGATGTACAGTGTGAAATTCATACTGGATTTCAAAGACTTGGCATGAGCAAAGAATATGTAAGATCTCATTCGTATTTTTATATTGATTACATGTTGAAATGATAATGTTTGGATAAACTGGGTTGAATCTACGATTAAAATTATTTTCACCTGTTTTACATTTTAACGTGGCTACTAGATAATTTTCACTCATATAAGTGCCTCGCTGTCCCAGGGCCTAGTACAGTGTCCTGCCCCCATTTTATTGCGCGAAATAACCAATGTTAAGAGACAGACCGAATGAATGGATGAGTGAAGAGCTATGGTCTCTGCCTCTTATTAGGAAAATAGATATGGCGTTGTCCTGGAAGTCAGGAGATCTGGGTTCTGGTCCAGGTTTACTGGAAACACTATGTAGCCTTGGACAAGCAATGCCCAACTCTGGGTGTCAATTTGCCCATCAGGCAGCTGATCTGTGAGGTCTCGAAGTGTAGTGGCGGAGAAAGGTGGGGAAGCCTGGTACAACAGAACTTGACTTCTGTTTGGCTCCAGCCTAACACCAGAGCTTCGGGCGACGGTAGGAGGCAGCAAGAATCACAGACTAGAACCCCCCGAGCCCCACGCCGGGCCCGCCGGCTTCCTCGGGCCGACGTCACTGGGGCGCGACAGCGTGGTCCGTCCGGTCCTTGATGCTGCAGCGGTTCAGAGGGTCCCTCCGGCGAGGGCGAGCGCCGAGCTAACAGAATGTCAAATAGTACCCGCGTCTCTCCAATGCTCAGTTTTCAGCAAACCACCCTCTGCCGCCCTCCCTCCTACTCCACCCTTACCCGGCACAGGAAGCCGGGAAAATACAAGTTCAGCCCCGAGCGTCCAGTACTGCACCCCAGCGCGGCTGCGCAGGGCACGTGCGCCTCTCCGGAGTCCCGGCGATTGGCTGTGACGTAACTTCCGGCGTGAGCGGCGAAAGCCGGGAGGGCGAGCGAGAGAGCGAGCAGGCAGCAGGCGGGCGGGCGGACGGCACGGAGGGAGGGAGCGAGCAAGCGAGCAGTGAGTGAGCCAGCGAGGGCGGCCGCGTCCCTAGAACAGCCGAGATTCTTCCCGTCCCTCTGACCCCCTCCCCGGAGCCCACAGCGCCTCCGGTCTCCAGTGGAGCGGACACGGCCCGGCCCGGCCATGGCCTCGTTGCTGAAGGTGGATCAGGAAGTGAAGCTCAAGGTAGCGGCACCGGTCCGGGCCTCCTAACCCCTCGCTTCGATCCCCGAGCAGTCTGACCGGCTCCCCACTCCCCATGGCGTCTTTGTCTCCCTGGGGACACCAGCTCTGAGCTTCCGCTCAGCTCAGCCCAGCCCCCCACTCCCGGAGACGGCATCGGGGGAGAGGATAATATAGGGTGGCCTTCTGAACCGCGTCTGGTGGTGGAGAGTCCAGGGAGACCTCCGCGGACACGTGGTGGACTCAGCACTTTAGGCCAATGACAGCTGGAAGTCCCCCAGCCCAGCAACGTCCCCGCGTCTGGATGCTACTGCTGCTGTACCCCTGCCCTTGGCGTCAGGCCTGCCTGGTATCAAAGGCTAGCTCTGGATGGGGGCTTGGCACGTTTGTGAGCTCACATCTCGCCTGTCTACCTGCCTTTTGTTTGCTCTCAAATTCAGACAGCTTCAGATACAGGGAGGGAGGGTGGGAGGGAAGACAGGTGGGTGCTACCCTCAAGCCCCGCTTCCCTCTCCTGAGATGGAGAAATGGATCCTCAAAAAAATAAAGTACTTAGAGTCTGGGGGCCTCTCAGCCTCTCATTACAATTACAAGGTGAGGGGAAGACAGCTGAATTTGGGTTTTCCCATCCTGCCCTTACCTCTGTTGCCAGGTACTGACTTGCTGTTACTGAATTGCTCTCTTTGTTAATTTTAGGTTGATTCTTTCAGGGAGCGGATCACAAGTGAGGTGAGTGCAATAAATAGAAAAATAAGCGTTGGATGATAGTTGGGAATTTCGCAAAGGAGATCTGTAGAGAGAGACCTTCCCACAGTTATTAATTGAGATCCATTTTCCTTCATCTTTAGGCAGAAGACTTGGTGGCAAATTTTTTCCCAAAGAAGTTGTTAGAACTTGATAGTTTTTTGAAGGTGAGAGACCCTTTTCTTTTTTTCAAATTCCCCAGTTTTTTGGCTCTGGTCTTTTTGTCAAATGGGAGAAATCATGTGTCGATTCTGTTTTGTTTTGTGCAGTAAAATACTCTCATTTCTTGCCCTTCAAGTGAAATAGTTCTTTGTTCATTTTGAAAAGACTAATGTTGTTTTGGGGGTGGGTGTCTCTTTCAGGAACCAATCCTAAACATCCATGACCTAACTCAGATCCACTCAGACATGAATCTCCCAGTCCCTGACCCCATTCTTCTCACCAATAGCCACGATGGACTGGACGGTGTGAGTGTCCTGCATTTTTGTTTGTATTCTGAAGCAGTAGTTCTCTATTCTCTGTTCTCTACTTCCTAGTCAATTTGAGCATGTACAGAGAAAACAGTGGTATTAGGATCTAGGAACGAGGGCTCTTCATGACATGATGATTCCAGTATACCACTTTTAGACCCTGATTTTCGTTTATAGCATGAAGTGTATAACCTAATGCTACTCTGTCCTAGAGTAAGTTCCAAATAGGACTAATAGCTACAATTTCCCTCAAGTTGTCTGGTCTGTCCCTGTAGCTCCAAGCAAGATTTTCCTCACCTGTTTGTGTCTTGAGTATTGTTATAGGATGAGCAGTTCTTGCTGTATAACTGCAGTCCCTGTCTTTGCTCCATATCTTTAGCACCTAGTGCTTGTCAGTTATATGTCCATGTTTTATAATAACAGTGATAACACTGTATTGTTGTCTGAGTTACTGTCTCACTGATAGAGCTTGCAATTCTGGAAAGCCAAAACTGTCTTAATCAACTTTGTATCCCCAGCACCAGTTCTGCACCTGGTAGACAGCAGGTGCTAAATACATGTTTGTTGATTGAATATTGTGCTTCTTTGTGGAACCAGAAGATTTGTACATATTCCCTTAATTATCCTCACCCTGCATTGAATGGTTCATTTTTACTGTTTATTTATAGTATCAACTCTTCTCTCCTAATTGCTTAATGTGTCAGTTGAAAGGTTGGTCTTCCCAACTGGAGTGTAAGTTGCTTTGTGGCAAGAATCTTTCCTTAAAGCCCCGAATGTGCTTAGTAAATTGTGCATAAATTAAAACAACCTGTGGGGCCAAAGAAGGGATTAGATTTGCTGGAAGGATAACTTGTGATGGGCATATGGGTGTCAGGAGCAGGCTAATTTATGTCTCTGTATCCTTAGCCCACTTACAAGAAGCGAAGGTTGGATGAGTGTGAAGAAGCCTTCCAAGGTAAGAGCCAACCCTACTCCACCTACTCCCTGGCTGGCAGCCCTGAGCAGGAGGATTGATCTGGCAGTCTCTGGTCAGGAAACAAGATCGGATTTGCTTTTTCAGAGTTAGCATTCCCAAGTTCTCCAAACATGGTCATTATTTAGCACCCAAAACCTAATTTCCCAATAAACAGGGAGGGCTTGACGTAGTGTGGACTGCCAAGGGAGAAAGGTTGGAGGTGGCCACACATCTCAGGTTTTTCACAGAAGTCCCAGTTTCACATTATTTTCTCTTCTTCAGTAATAGTTGGTACATTAAATCTTTAGAGCATATTTTAATTTCTTTGTTCTTCAGACTTTTGGCATACTTTAGACACTCGTTTGCTAATCCATACATTGTCTCTCTTTGATTCTGGAGTTGGTGGGGTCATGGTTTGTAGATAGGATTGTGACAGATAAAAGGCACTGAGGTCATAGCATCTCATGGGTCTGGGGAAGAAGAGAGAAACGTGGGGGCTGTTAATGTCCTGTCCTCCACCCCAATCATTTGACCTTCTTCATGTCCCTTCCAGGAACCAAGGTGTTTGTGATGCCCAATGGGATGCTAAAAAGCAACCAGCAGCTAGTGGACATTATTGAGAAAGTGAAACCTGAGATCCGGCTGCTGATTGAGAAATGCAATACGGTGAGGCAGGGGCTAGTGACCTATGGGCTGACCCCAAAGAGCCTGGCTTAAACTATGAAAAATGTTGGATGTGGGGCAGGAGGCATGGAGGTGATAGAGGAGTTGGCACATGAAGTATCTTGGCTCCCGTGCTCCCGGCATCTGGTCCTAGCAGCATGGATTGTGTACTTCATGGCTTCGGCAGAAAAGGCAAGGGTCCTCTTACGTATATATTGGTCTTCTCACCCTTCAGGTCAAAATGTGGGTACAGCTCCTGATTCCCAGGATAGAAGATGGGAACAACTTCGGGGTCTCCATTCAGGTAATGTGCTTGTATTACAAACTGGACAGGAAGGTCTGGAAGGTTTATTCTCCTTTTCAACCTGCTTTGTGTGTGTTTTTCTTGGTCTGCTCTTTGGGTGACGTGGAAGTGACTTGGCCTCAACACTTGTTTTTTTTTTAGGAGGAGACAGTTGCAGAACTAAGAACTGTTGAGAGTGAAGCTGCATCTTATCTGGACCAGATTTCTAGGTAGGGCTTCTTGGGCTTGGCCCAGGAGTTGGGGGCTGGTGATGTGGCAAGCACCGTCCAGGGTCTCCTGCAGCTTCCTCCTCTTATCTCTCCTTTCAGATATTATATTACAAGAGCCAAATTGGTTTCTAAAATAGCTAAATATCCCCATGTGGTAAGTAAGGGTTTGGGGTCTGAGGGTGGAAGGGAGAGGGAGGAGTGGCCATTTCTCGGCCAGAGCTGCCTGTGGACAGGCCGGCCTCAGGGACTAGCCTTTCCTCTGCCCCCCTTTCAGGAGGACTATCGCCGCACCGTGACAGAGATTGATGAGAAAGAATATATCAGCCTTCGGCTCATCATATCAGAGCTAAGGAATCAATATGTAAGTAACCTTGGTCCCTGCCCACAGTCACCCTGGCTGTTAGTCCTGGCCGCCCCCTGGGGTTCGAGATGGGAGAGGGAGTGGGATAAAAGGATAAATTCTCATCCACTGGTGAGAATTACAAGCTCGATGCGGGTGCGTAGCTGGGGATCTCCCTTTCTGTTTGGGTGGCAGGGAGTGCAGTGCGGTACCAGCGTGAAGATGGAGGCCTTAGAGTCAGACAGGCTCGGGTTCAGAGCCAATTCTTCCTGTAATCTGTGGCCTTGGGCAAGTTGTTGAAACTTAAACTTCAGTTTTCTCATCTCTAAGCCAGAATATCGCTAAGATAGAACTTAGAGTACCTATGGCATGAAGATGGGTTTTTGTTTTGTTTTGTTTTTTACAAAGATGGTTTTTAAAAATGAGTGAAATAGGAGCGCCTGGGTGGCGCAGTCGGTTAAGCATCCAACTCGTGGTTTCGGCTCAGGGCAAGATCTCATGCGTAGTGGGATTGAGCCCTGTGCCGGGCTCCACGCTCAGCAGGGAGGCTGCTTGAGATTCTCTCCCTCTGCCCCTCCCTCACTCCCATGCATGCGCGTCTGCGTGCGTGCTCTCTCTCTCTCTCAAATAAATAAATCTTTAAAAAAAAATGAAGTAAAATAACACATTAAAAGACCCAGTACAATGTTTTTTTAATATTTTATTTATTTATTTGACAGAGAGAGAGATAGCAAGAGCAGGAACACAAGCAGGGGGAGTGGGAGAGGGAGAAGCAGGCTTCCCGCTGAGCAGGGAGCCCTATGCGGGGCTCGATCCCAGGACCCTGGGATCATGACCCGAGCCGAAGGCAGACGCTCAATAACTGAGCCACCCAGGCGCCCCAGAAGACCCAGTACAATTGTTGGTTATGTGAGGTGCTCAATGAATGTTAGTTGTTATTAGACACCTGGGGCCTGGGAAGTTCCCAGGAATCCCTGGTGTGTGGGTATAGAGAGGAGAAGCAGCCGCCCTGAATTGAGGCTCCAGTGAGTGAGGTGGGGATTCTGCATATCATTGCCTGGGGCTTTGTGGGGTATCTGGTCTCTTTGGGAGGTTGGGGTGGAACAAATGTGACTCCCTGGCCTCTTTTCCCAGGTCACTCTACATGACATGATCCTGAAAAATATCGAGAAGATCAAACGGCCCCGGAGCAGCAATGCAGAGACACTGTACTGAGGCCAGGGCCAGGGCCAGGGGACTCTGTGAGTCTGGCTCAAGACCGACATTGCCTTGGTTTGTTACATGACTATCGTGATGGGGAAACTGGCTGGAAATAGTAATCACACCTCTCTCTGTTTTTAGTTAGAGTCTAATGAAACTCTCATGTAGTTCTGTGACGTGTTTACCTCTTTTTTCAGGCCTCAGGAACTCTTCTCTTTCCTTCCCTAATACCCCACACCCGACTTGTCCTAATTTCTGGAGAAATCCAGGTTTGTGTCTGCAGGATGTTGGCACAAGGATACTTGTGTTTTCTTTCCCTGCCCTCTCCCTCTTGTGTCTTGAGCTTTGTGTTTTCTTCTGTCTGTCGATTAGCGGATTAGAAGCTGAGGGAACTGGAAGGAAAGTGCTAGGTGTTTTTTAGGAACTGGGATGGGGGGAGGTGTCCAGCTCCTCTCCTCTGATGTAAGGTTAGTGTCTCTTGCCACTGTGTGGGACATTGGATCCTCCCTCCCACAGTTTCCCTGATGATAACTTAGGGTCTCCCATCCACGTATGTTCCACCTTGAACCTGATCATGACAAGAAACACCTTAGGCCTCCGCCAAGTCCCTAGCTCCTTGAAATGTTTTTATAACTAGGATTTTCACATACACATATGTGTGTGATAGACACATACGTACAGACATGCACATGCCTTCCTACTCCGTTACCTGATTTCCCCATCCCATCGTCTGTGTTGTTTTCCTTTGTCCCGCCGTCCCCCCCGAGCCCCCATCCCATGAATTCTGTCACACACACATTATTCAGAAGGTGATCGTCGTCTTGGTCCTCACCCACCGGGGCCCATTGTTCTGCTGGCATATATAGCCTCTTGGTGCCCAGAGGCTGGTGATTTGGGAGGAGAGCTGAGAGATGAGAAGCAGAGGATTTGGGGAAGGGCCCTTCCTCTCTGACTTGGGTCTTTTTGGGTGTTACTGCAAAGGCTGGTCCTCTGACTCCTGGGTGCCTCTTCCTAGGCCAGTGGTAAGGTGGGGTGGGGCTCTCTGCCGCTGGGAGGGCCGGATGCTGCTGGCCCTGCTGGGCTTTCTTACGGGACAAATAGTTCTCTTCTTTATAGCGTTGTGCTTCCAAGGAAAGCAGCACCTGTGCGTATGTGTGTGTGCACACATGCGTGTACGCATCGTGTGTATGTGAAAATCTGGGCAATCAAAACCATCGAAGAGTTGCCTCCTATTCCTCAAAACTGGCAGAATCTCACTTGTTACAGCTTTTCTGTTAACCCTCATCAAACCCCCACTTTTTTATTCTGCCGCTACTGGAGAGTCCGTATCTGCGGTCAGCCTGCCAGTAACTCTCTTGGGGTCTGTCTCTGACTTTTATTCTTCCCCTCTCTTCCTCTTGCCTTCTTCGACCCCAATCACATTTCCACCCGGCTGCATCATTTTTACTCCCAGTATGCTGTAGAGAAGGAGTCAGGATGCTGTCTTCCCATAAATAGTGCTCAGTAACAAACCAATTGCATTTTAGTTGGGCAGTGCCCCTACCCACCCTCCAGATCCCTTCCAGCTAAAACCCTACCCCCCCCACCATGTGTTTCTCAGTTTCCCTTTTTGTTTGTTGGATTATTCTGCTGCCCCTCCTCACTCTATCACCCTTGGATCGTAATGTAAAATTCTTTTACCATGTCAAGAAATTATTAAAAATGCAGGTACTTTGACCTCTTTCTAAAGCTGCAGACCCTGGTGCGATGCTCTGGTGGCTAGGGACATACCCACACTCAAGTGCGTGCATACGGGGACACCCACCTCCACGTACGCCTCCAGCCACCCTATTGGGTATTTTTATTACCAGTTGAGCTGCCTCTTTTCTCTAAAATAATGGAAAGACTGAGGCTTCTGCCTACCAAGAGGCAGGGGTGGGTCCTTCTTTTGTGTTCAGTCTGAATTTATGTGAAAGTTAGCTCTTCCCAAACCTAAACTCCTTCTGTCTAACCTCCCAGGATTGCAGTTCCTTGCTCTCTCTCCCCGGTGATACCCATGAACTGCCAGTAGAGGCCGCCCTAGTTCCGCGTGTGGGGGATCACCTGGTTTGAGGCACAGCCTACCCGGTCATTTTCTTGACCTTATACTAATTCTCCCTGCTGAACAGTGTCTTCATCTCTTGAGGAGATGCCAGGGATTCCTGCTTTTGGTTTTCCAGTGACTTGGGAGGGCTGTCTAGGATCCTAGCTCTCTCTGAAATAAAGTTTCCTCAACTTCCACCTTGCAGAGTAGCCTTTTGATATCCAGTGATGCCCTCATTGTCTCTGCAAAATGAGATTTAAGGTCTTGAACGGTGGAGGAACGTCTGCTGTAGTCTGTTTCAGAGATTGGACCAGTAGCTAACAATTTTTGAATGCTTAACCTGTGTTAGGCTCTGTTAAGTGCTTTATGGGCTTGACCACATTTAATTTTCATGAATCTGGGGTAGTTTACCCCGCCTTTCTAGGTGAGGACACTGAAATTCATAAGAAGTAACTCCTCTGAGGTCCTACAGCGGAGGGGTCTGACTGCTGACCCAGGCTCTCACCTGTCCTTTCCCACTGACTAGATAGAAGAAACTTGATACTACAAAGCAAGAGCTTGGCCTCTGGCAGCTGGCCAAGTGCTTATTGCTGAACTGGGCCATGGGTCGTGGGAATATTGGCGGGTGGTACCTGCTCGGAGGTAGGGAAATGGATAGTTCTGGTGCCTGCGTGTAGCACACGGCACTTAACTGGGCACCTGAGACTTGCATTCTCCCTCAGACCTATTCTGAGGGAAAGGTAGAGTTTAGGGTTAATCCACAGTCCTCTAGCCTGGTCTGAGTGATGGCAGTCAGAGCTCCTGACGTGCTGCCGCCAGGAGCTCAGGGGCAGGGGAGAGCCTGTGCACGTGGAAGTGGTGCCTGGAGCCAAACCACCGAACAGAAAATTGGAACAGAATTATATAAATTAAGGTCAGAAATTTCCTGTCCAACCCACAGGGTGGAGTTTTCTCTATTCCTATCCATCCTACCGAATATAAGCCCTGATTTGATGTCAGTAACTGGAAGGAGCAGCTGGGAGGACTCCCCTTTCAGCTGTCTGCATTCACCATGAACCTCAAGGTAGTCCTCGTGTTCCTGGCACTGTCCCTCATTACCATCTTTGCCCTGGCCTATGTCTTGCTGACCAGCCAAGGTGGCTCCAGCCAGCCTCCCCGCTGCCCCTCCGTGTCCCCCAGTGCCCAGCCCGGGACACACCCCGGCCAGAGCCAGCTGTTTGCAGACCTGAGCCGAGAGGAGCTGACGGCTGTGATGAGCTTCCTGACCCGGCAGCTAGGGCCAGGCCTGGTGGATGCAGCCCAGGCCCGCCCCTCGGACAACTGCATCTTCTCGGTGGAGCTGCACCTGCCCCCCAAGGCCGCAGCCCTGGCCCACCTGGACAGGGGGAGCCCCCCACCTGCCCGGGAGGCACTGACCATCGTCTTCTTTGGCGGACAACCCCAGCCCAACGTGAGTGAGCTGGTGGTGGGGCCATTGCCACGGCCCTCCTACTTGCGGGATGTGACGGTGGAGCGTCACGGGGGCCCCCTGCCCTACCACCGCCGCCCCATGCTGGGAGCTGAGTTTACCCAGATGTGGAAGCATTTGAAGGAGGTGGAGCTCCCCAAGGCACCAGTCTTTCTAGCTTCTGTCTTCAACTACAATGGCTCCACTTTGGCACCGCTGCATGCCACCCCCAGTGGCCTGCGCTCAGGGGACCGTGCTACCTGGATAGCCCTCTACCATAACATCTCAGGTGTTGGGATTTTCCTTCACCCAGTGGGGCTGGAGCTACTGCTGGACCACAGGGCCCTGGACCCTGCCCACTGGGCTGTCCAACGGGTCTTCTATCTCGGGCGCTACTATGCAGACTTGGGCCAGTTGGAATGGGAGTTTAAGGCTGGCCGGCTGGAAGTGGTTAGGGTTCCTCTCCCCCTGCCCGATGGGGCTTCATCCTTGAAGTCCCGGACCTCCCCAGGTCCTCTCCCCCCTCTTCAGTTCTCACCCCAGGGCTCCCAATATAGTGTGCAAGGGAACCTGGTGGCGTCCTCCCTCTGGACATTTACCTTTGGTCATGGGGTGTTCAGTGGCATGAGGATTTTTGATATTCGGTTTAAGGGCGAGCGAGTGGCCTATGAAGTCAGTGTCCAGGAGTGTGTATCCGTCTATGGTGCTGACTCACCCAAGACAATGATGACCAGATACTTGGATAGCAGCTATGGACTTGGCCGTCACAGCCGGGGCTTGGTTCGGGGAGTCGACTGCCCCTATCAATCGACGATGGTGGACATCCACATACTAGTGGGTACAGGGGCAGTCCAGTTGCTCCCGGGGGCTGTGTGTGTATTTGAGGAGGCACAAGGACTACCCCTTCGGAGGCACCACAATCACCTTGAGAGTCATTTCTATGGTGGTTTGGCTGGCTCGGCCCTTGTAGTCAGGTCTGTGTCATCTGTAGGCAACTATGACTACATTTGGGACTTTGTACTGCACCCAAATGGGGCTCTGGAAGGGCGGGTCCATGCCACGGGCTATGTCAACACGGCTTTCCTGAGTGGGGGTGAGGAGAGCCTCCTCTTTGGGAACCGTGTGGGGGAACGAGTGCTGGGGGCAGTGCACACGCATGCCTTCCACTTCAAGCTGGACCTGGACGTGGCAGGTGAGTGCTCGGGTGAGGACTGAGATGGGGGGAGCAGAGGGAAGGGAGGCCCCCAGATCGAGCCAGAAGCGGCAGACGGTGGCAGGCCAGCGCCACGACATACGGTGGTGGCGGAACAGGGGCTGATTGGAAAGTATTCGGCTGTAGTAGCCTGAAACAACTGGGCGTGCTGGGTATCTGGCCGAAGGTAGAAGGGGTGTCCCTACCCGACCCTGCTCACCCGGCCCCTCTGCCTCACTGTGGTTGTGAAACTGGCTTAAATGCAATGGCCGTGCCTGGCTGTCTTCATCTCAAGTGCCTCTGTGGCTATTGAGTTTGCCTGGGCAGTTGGGGCTGGAGGTGGGGCGCTTTAAGTTTTTTTCCTGATTCTGGGGGTCAGTGGAGGTGGGGAAAGCAGGGGCCTGAGTAGAGGTAGGAAGCAGCCTAAGGACATTTTCAGTGTAGAGTGGTCCTGGGGCACGAGGAGGGGGGGTGCTAGTGGGGGGTTGTTTAACAGGATTTCATAAAACAGGACATAGGGTGGTGGCCCCACTGTCGTCCTGGGGAGGGTCCTGTCATCCCTGTCAGTACATGTCCTCACCGCCAGCCCGCTGGTGACATGGCAGGCACGAAATAGGCTTGCTGCAAGTGTAGAAAGGGATTTCTCAAGTGGGGCTCAAAGCACAGGGACGACTTGCTGCTCCTGACTGACTGTTGTCAACAACAAAATAACGAGCTTACTGAATCACAGACTATTAGACCCAGAAAGAAAAGTGGCAACTACCAGACCCTCGCCAAACTGAGGAGGGTGGGGGGAGATGGAGCAAGAAGTGCCTGCCCCAGTATAATGGTCTGTAACTAGACATCTTTTCTGTGGAACATTTTCTTACCCTCTCGACTATGAAGACGTGGTTTCGGGTGGGAGGAGAACTAAGAAAACAGCATGACTGAAAGGGGTCTATTATCTATTCTCTGACGTATTTGGAATAGGACTTTGAAGTTTCTCTTCAGCATTTTTGGCATTAAAGAGCCTTGTCTCGGGAAGTAAAGTCGAGTCACATGTACTGGATCCCTGTAGTGTGGAGCTCGAGGGACAAGCAGCGGGGCTGCTGGCCTCAGTACAGCGCTCTGTGTAGGGGGCCAGGTGCCTTCATGATCGGTCCTGTTTCAAGGAACTGACACCCGAACCTGCAAAGAGTATCATCAAGTGCCAAGTGGGGAAGGTGGGTGTACGAGTGCAGTCGACTTCTAGGGAGCTCTCAGGCGATATAAGATCTAAAACTACTCCCTTCAGAAAAAAACAAAACAAAGGGGTCCCTACCTTGGGGAGAAGGAAAGCAAAGTTTCAGAGCTGGGAGGAAGATGCAGGGCGCCCTGGAAGGGGATTGGGTTTTTCCAGCCAGCTTCTCCGAGACAAATCTCTCTTTCATAGTTAACAAGAATGTAACTAGCCACCTGCGTGTGCTTTTCCACTTACAGAGCTCAGCCACAGAACAGCTTTTATTATGCCCACTGTAGAGATTCAGAAAGAGAATCAGAGAAGCAAAGAATTGGTCCAAGGTCTACTGGGTAGACCAGTGCTAACAGAACTCTGCGGTGATGGATATTCTCCATCTGTGTCATCTGATGCATGTGGCAGTTGAACACTTGAAATGTGGCTAGTGTGACTGAGGAACTGAATTTTTAATTTAAATGGAATTAGCCACTTGTGACTGGTCATAGCCATATTGAACGGGGCAGGTTCAAAGAAGGGTTAGCACTCGAATCCAGACCTTCCGGCTCCCAGCACAGTGCTCTCTGACGAGCCCCGCTGCCCTTTGTCAGGCCAGCGCAGTGGGGCATCGTGGGGAAGACAAGGGACTGTCTCACCTGGTGTGGAACTCCTCTCCCCCCTCCCCCTGGCAGGGCTGAAAAACTGGGTGGTAGCTGAAGACGTGGTGTTTAAACCTGTGGCAGCCCCTTGGAGTCCAGAGCACCAGCTGCAGCGCCCACAGCTGACTCGGCAGGTCCTCGGAAGGGAGGACCTGACAGCTTTTTCCTTGGGAAAGCCCCTGCCCCGCTACCTTTATCTGGCTGGCAACCAGACTAATGCCTGGGGTCACCAGCGTGGGTACCGAATCCAGATCCACAGCCCCCTTGGCATACACATGCCCCTGGAGAGCGACATGGAGAGGGCCCTCAGCTGGGGGAGGTGAGGAGGGCTCTGGGCACTGGGTGGAAGGGAAGGACTGGTCCTCTTCCCCGCCCCAGCTCCTGAAGACCCCAATTCACTACCCTTGGTTTACCATTCACCCCTGTGCCTCCTCTCAGCTCCAAGTAGATATGGGATGGGGAATGGTCTCACACAGAATCTGGTCCAAAGGACTTCAAGGCTGGGAATGGCCCCTGATCTGACACCACCTTCCTTCAACGTTCCTGGTCAGATACCAGCTTGTGGTGACCCAGAGGAAGGAGGAGGAGTCACAGAGCAGCAGCATCTATTACCAGAATGACATCTGGACCCCCACTATGGCCTTTGCTGACTTCATCAACAATGAGACCCTCTTAGGAGAGGTTGGTAGCCCTGGGGCAGAGGAGAGGGGCAACTTAAGCCTGAAGTCTTGGCTGCCCAGCTCCTGACCGTGGGTTGGAGGGAATGGTAGGTTTCCAGTTCTCAGATTCAGGGGCCAACACGGGTCATCTCTCTTGGGGTGAGATTAGCCCTGGGACTCCGACCACCCTGCATCTTCTCACAAGGATCACCCCGCCTGTGGTGTGGACCCGGGGCTGGGTGGTGGTAGAAACAAGGCTGAGGCTAGAGGTTGGGGATTGTGGCTGAGGAGGGGTGGTTCTCTGGGTCTTGTCTCCACAAAGTCTTTCAGCCTCTCCCTCTTCCCACAGGACCTGGTGGCTTGGGTTACAGCCAGCTTCCTGCATATCCCCCACGCTGAGGATGTCCCCAACACAGTGACTCTGGGGAACAGAGTTGGCTTCTTGCTTCGACCCTATAACTTCTTTGATGAGGATCCCTCCATCTTCTCGCCTGGCAGCGTCTACTTTGAGAAGGGCCAGGATGCGGGGCTCTGCAGTGTCAACCCTGTGGCCTGCATCCCCCACCTGGCGGCCTGTGTCCCGGACCTGCCCCCTTTCTTTTACCAGGACTTTTAGCCCCAAGGGTGTGGGGGGACATGGAGGGGGGTTGCTGAGACATTTGTACCTTTCTCTCTGTTCCCCCTTCCTGCTCCCTTGATGCCTACCCTCTTAATGTTCCTTGGGAAACAGCCTCCAACAGTAAACCCCTATGTATCCCTTCCGTTAATTCTTATTTCCAGTTCATTTTGTTTAAATGATGGACTTATACAAATGATACGATTATTAAGATATTCAAGCGAAACCCCACAAATTCTACCACTCAGAAATAGCCAGTGTTCACATTTGGTGAACGTTATACCAGACATTTCTTTATGCATGTGCATCGAAATGGAAGAATAGATAGAATTTTGTAAAAATAGATGGTGTGTGTGATTTATAATAAAAGGTACTACAAGATTTATCGCTTGAATTTCTTCTATTTGACTTTTGAAGTATCTAGAATCCTCCCGAGAATATTAAGAACTCTGGCCAAGGAAATTAGCAGTGGAAGAAGAGAGGGCAAGAGGGACAGACCAGGCCAAGGAATGCCGCTTGGGAAGCTGCGGGGCTGGGGGTGGCGGTTTCCTTGGAAGCACAACAATAGTTCCAAGTTACAGGAAAAGGAACATCTGGCCCTGGAAGGTGGGGGTTGGGGGAAGAAGCCAGGCGAGGGGCATGAGGGGCTGCTCCGCGCAGACCCAGCTCCTTACTGCTGGTGCCTTTCCAGGCTCAACTGGACAGTTGCATTATTTTTAAATCCCACTCTCCTTCTGCCTCCCCCAGCTCTCCCCAGTTCCAACCCTGACCCAGAAAGCGGAGTCTGATTTGGAGCCTGGAAGACAAAGCCATGTAAGGTCTGTGGAAATCACTCCCGCCCTGCTCCGGGCCCGCCCCCGCAAGCCCTGCCTGCCCCGCCCCCTCCCCAGCCTTCCTGTGTCCTTCCCACCCTCCCCACCCTCAGTATCCTGAGCGACTGAACACTGGGAACCTCAGCCAGAGCCCAGGATCCCCCCACCCCCCGTATAGGAGCTAAGAGAGACCTAACTCTGCTGACCTGAGAACACACATCTCCACTCTGGTTCAGTCCTCTGTCCTGCTTGTTCACGGACAATGAACCAGAAGACCACTCTGGTGCTCCTTGCTCTAGCTGTCATCACCATTTTTGCCTTGGTGTGTGTCCTACTAGCTGGCAGGGGAGGAGATGGGGGTGAACCCGGCCAGCCTCCCCGCTGCCCCTCCGTGTCCCCCAGTGCCCAG